CGAAACGTTAGGAAACAAAACTTCCAGAACACGGCCACATAGCCCAGAAGACCCACACCAGAAAGAGAGACACATTCTGTTTTTCAGATCATGTCTCTTGCTTTATAAACATCTTCTCATGTTGCCCTTTCCACATGGATTACGCTACCAAGGAAACCTTGCATGCACTGAAATCGCCGTGGGCTTCCTATGAGGATCGTCATTCTGGGATATCCAGAAGTTTGCGTCATTCATTCATACACTACTACCAATGACTCTTTCATGCTTCCTGCTCCTGGCGCTCCTCTACTCACCACCAGCCTCATCCTCCTCTTTCATCTGACTGGGTGAAAGCTAAATAGACGCTTGTTTCTGAGTAGACCCAGAAGTCTACTATGCAGTGCTTGAAACCAGGCACTGTACCTTAGATTTGTTGTTGGTTACAGTGCCCTGTTGATTACAGAGTTAAAGGCATCCAAGATGACAGCCGTTTTGAGCTCACACCTGCTGGTCTGTCATCTTGGGTATAATGTGGAGCATGGAGAGTTAAAAAATGGCACCACTCATGTACTCTCATTATCTAAGGTACCTATTTCATTGTGTTGCACTAACATGCCTATCGGTATCTGACTTCTCTTCCATTATGGAATGCAGGGCGCTGCACATGGAGTTCACAGTTGGATTCCCATCTATGCACTGACCAAACCGAGACCTGCTTAGCTTCAGGTATCCTCCATGCCTTTTTGGGTAGGTTTAAAATCACTGCCCCCAACCCCATCATTCTTTCCTAAAAAACAAACAGTCCAGAATTGTGTCTGGCATATTTCCAGCCTAGGCACTCAAAAAAAAGCTCACATCACCTCAGAAAAACCTAAATAAAGTCAAAAGAGATCCCATCATCTCAAGAAATCTAGGATTCCAGATTTGCAATTAATTCTTTCTCCTAATTATCATGCCTAATTATCATGCCTTAAATTCCATTCCCTGCTACCTAAGAATTATAACTCCAATTTCTAACATTTCATCCTATCCTGGTCAGGAATGTCCTCCATTTACAGGAATGCAGTCAGACTCATACACCTCAAAGCATCTTCACTTTCCTCCTCTGCTGGGACCCTTTCAACCTCAGCTGGAATGAATGGGTACGGAAGATTAACAAAATACAATATTTTCCTGAATTCCGAGTTTAGATACTTTATCAGATACAGTGCCGAGAAAGTATTAAGAATACATTGTGCACTCAATTCATTGTGACTCATTCTCATCTTTCAGCAGGATAGGTATATGAGCTTAGCATGAATTAATCAGAGGTGATAGGGAAGGATCTCACTTTGAGCTTAGCTTGAATCTCTCGTGTTTTTCGGCGTGCCAACACCTGGATGTGACTGGAGACCTGAGAAAGGGTTTAGAGAGAGACAAAATTGAGAAAATCAATCAATCAATCAATCAATCGAGAGCCAGTTTGGTCTAGTGGTGAAGGCCCCAGGCTAGAAACCAGGAGACTGTAAGTTCTAGTCCCGCCTTAGGCATGAAAACCGGATGGGTGACTTTGGGCCAGTCCCTCTCTC